TAAAAATGTCTAGATAATGCTTTTTGTCTGAGTACTTATCACTGCGGACTCATTCAATGACAAAAATACAAAGCCCTTCATCCTTAATGTTATTACCCGGTCCGGGGCTTCGAATTAACCAAGACGGAAACGGACGGTCAGACGATAAAGAGTATAACTCTGTTATTCTATTTCTACCATTAACAATTCAATATTCAAAACAATACATAAAAGAGACACTAAAAAAGTAATAAAAATCAATAAGTAAACATTTGTACATTTATGGTTGTTGTTTTCATCTCATGTATACATTTGTTCATCTTCTATTCATCTTGTTCAAATGTTTAAAACCTACATATAATATTAAAATTGAATATAATTTTCAAGCTCCATGTTTGGCAACCGACATATATGACTCAAATGGATACATCCATTGATACTGTAGTGGTCTTCCAAGTAAGGCATTATGTGGTAAGTGTACCGGCAAATGCTCCATATAGTCAAAAAAACTAGGTGAGAATATTCTTTCGAGCTTGCATAATATTATCAAAATATTTACTTTTAATACTTCAGAAATTTAGGCTCTATCATATGTTAAAATGTGGTTAATAATATGATTGTATTGAAAAAAATAGAGTATGAACATGTACTGAAAAAACATCCAACTTCCTTATCATAAGTGAAAAGATGGTATATAACCAAATTCTGCTGATGGATTAAAAAATAATTAAGGCTCTGTTTGGGGCAGCTGCAGCTTATCCAGCTTCTGCTGATAAGCAGCTTATCCTGATAATCTGCTGATGAACAGCTGATCCGGATAAGCCGTCTGGCTGTTTGGTTGACGCTTATAGAAAACAACTGATTCTGGAAAATTGACTATTATGCCCCTGTTCTGAATAAGCAGTTTAGCTGTTTGGTTAGTGTGTTTTGTAAACAGCTTTTTTAGAATAATGAGTTGTACAAATGTTTAAAACCTACATATAATATTAAAATAACATAATGAGTTATCTAAAGATAACAAAAGAACAATCACACTTCTAAACCACGTAATCAAAGAAAAGAATTTAATAGGCATGCGGGTCTATAAGAAATCTTATAATATGTTCGATTTTCATATTTTTCTTATAAGCAATCTAATATATGTTAATGCATGCATAAATGATCTTTTGTAAATGAATATACTAAATTTTCTACAACCATCTACTTTAATTGCTCTTACTTTAAAACTCTTTACATGTATACTTATCACTGCGAGAACCACCGTCAACAAAATCTAACACATCCTTAGCTGACATTACCCCATCAGCATAGCGGTCAGCGATCTACACATCACAATTATCAAGGGTGAAAAGAATTTTACCTGGCCTTGACTAATATTATCTTGTCAGCACGATGATTAGTAATAAAAATCACATTTGTCTGAGATAAGCTATGGTCTACTCGTCCATAACTGATATTTCTTGTCGACACAGCGATTAATGGTCTAGACATCACAACTATCTTGAGTGGTAAAAAGACTCAACCCGTACGAGAACACTGGAATACCCTGCTTGTACCATTAGGGAGTAAAATTCTTCTTTAAACATGCACATACAAGCATTTTATATAAGTTTCATTCTTCATAGCATACATTATTCTGTGATAACTTTATGCATCTAATAATATGCATACTTACTTTTACTCTATAGTGTAACTATTCATCATACATAACTATCATATCATGCATAGAGTTTGATATGATTTAGTTATCATTTGACAAGAAATAGATTTTTGTAATCACTTTTATTTAATCTTCATAGTTGAAGTGTAGTTCATGAATTTCAAGGACGAAATTTTATTAGGGAAAATTATAACAACCCAATTTTTTAGAAAATTAAAAAAATTTGACAACTTAAAATATACTCCAAATTTTGAATCCCTCAGATTTCAATCAAAATAATTTTATAAAATTTTACATAAAAAACCAATCAATTCAATATATAATACTATATATAAAATTTGAAAAGATTGGAAGTAATACGTTTAATTTACTTAATTAAATTGTTTATTATCCTAAATCTCGCATTGTTACTGTAACCACCGCCTTAGGCGATATTAAGCTTAGAGGTTCCGATCGAAGGGCTAGAATCCTTATTACAAAGCTTCAAAACCCTTTCCCCTTCCGATCCACCTCTTTGTTCGATATTGCAAACATCTCGCTAGAAGAACCGCAACCCTGCATTACAGCAGGCGGGTCGAGCGGTGCACAGTGAAGCCCCAAAGTGTCACGCCTCTGCCCCATCTCCTTTTTTCTTCACCTCCTGCAGCGAATCCTTCTCCCGCAACTTCTGCGCAATTCTGCATTGTACCAAAATCGCGATCTGCAGCACGTCGTGTGCACGACCGAAAACCACAGACCTCGATTCAAGGCTCCAAAGAAAAATTGGCAAGTGTGAAACCTTATTTCACGCTATTTGAGAAATTTATTTCCTTCCACTTATTCCAATTTTTATATTTCTCTTCTTTTATGCATTGTTCGTTTCCAGTAACTGTCAGAAACACCGATCTTGTGTCAAAAGTGTTGTATGTGATTTACGAGTTTCTGTAGGGGCCATAGCACATAACAATAAAGGAGAAAGGGCATTGGAGATGTTAGGAAAAAGAAGAAAGAATATTTCGCAGCTATGGAAGGACGAACTAGTGTCAAGAAACCTATTTAAAGTAAAAACGTAACATTTTGGTTAAATTACTTTATGAGCCGAAAATTTATCAAATCCTAAGATATTTATGGATTCCAAAATGTTACCTGAGGTGACAGGTTCAATGCATGTGTGTAAAAGCTATTATTAGGATGACTCCTTAAAATTTCAGGTAAAATAATCTTATGTTAATTTAAGAAGGATAATTAAATATACAAAAACCACTTTAATCTTAAATTTTAATTTTATATTTTATAGGTTATTAAGCTCAACATAAGTCACAACACCTTCAGCTAGCTATCGAAGATTGAGATTTTATCGTGGCAATTGAGGTGGGCAATTACATTTCTAAAGTTGAGTAACTTTCTTTATTTCAGAATGTATGTTCTAGTTTAGTTAGATTTTTCATATTGCTAGATAGAAAATATATACATACCAGAAAAGATATATATAAAATGTGATATGTATGACACGAATGATATGAAAGATATACATGATAAAAAAAAAATATATGCATGATAAGAATGATAAAAAAAGATATGCATGATATAAAAGATATGCATGAGATAAGGTACGATGAATAGTTAGATAGCAGAGTAAGACTACGTATGCATGTTATTAAATTCATAAAAATATCTCAGAATAATGCATGTTACGAAGAATTAAATAGCTTATATAAAAATGTTTGTATGTATATGTTCAGAGGAGGATTTCATTTTCTAATGATACAGCCATACAGGCAAGGGATGCCAGTGCACTCGAGGGCGTAGAATTTTTCTACCACCCCAGACAATTGTGATGGTTAAATCAGTAACCGTTGTATCGACGAGATACTATCAATTAGGGGTGGGTAGACTAGATTTTACCTTCCGAGACAGTTGCAATGTTTAGTCAGGGGTAGTAAGGTCCTTCCACTTTAAATAATTTTGATGTATAGATTGCTAACTGTTGTGTCAATAGAAGTTGACAAAGCAATAACAGTTAAGGGTGTGTTAGGTTTTGTTGATGATGTTCCTCGTTGAAATAAATGTGCACGTAAAGAGTATTAAAATAAAAGTAATTAAAGTAAATATTTATAGAAGATTGAGTATTTTTATTTAGCAAAGATCATTGAAGCATGGATTAGCATATACAAATTGTTCATAAAAAAATATGAACGACCGGCATATTATAAATTTTTTTATAGACCCGCATGCATATTAAATTCTTTTCCTTGAATTATATAGATTAAAAGTGTGATTACTCTTGTTTTATCTTTAGATAACTCATTATATTTTTTAATATTATATTTATGTTTTAAACATTTGAACAAGATGAATAGAAGATAAACAAACATATACATGAGATGACAACAACCAGAAAGGTACAAATTTTTACATATTAATTTTTATTATTTTCTTTAGTAGCACTTTTATGTATTGCTTTGAATATTGAATTATTAGCAATAGAAATAAAATTGTAGAGTTCTATTTTTTACCGTCTGACCGTTCGTTCTCTTCTTGGTTAATTTGACGCCCCGGGTCGGGTCGTGATACTTGATAATTGGGTATGTGTTTTTTTGGTCAACATTCAGTATACCACATCATATTGTTGAAGTTGATCTATAAGAATATGATGCACCTGATCTTGCAACTGATCTCCAATTGAAACTTCTACCTGTTATCCCTTGTTGACACTAATCTCATTTTCTTTTTCAACTAATTAAGATAATATGACTAGGAATGCTTTCAGGCAATGAGCCTCAATTTATCTATCATCTATGTGGATAATATATTCTCACAACTATCTCAATCTATAATGAAATTGCACATCTGCACTTTCACAGTATAATGGATATGGAAGATGTTATATCTAAGAAGATATGAAAAAAGTTTTAAATATAAAATTTTATAAAAATAATTTAGATATTTTTTGGGGATCCAAAAAACAAAGTATAATTCAAAATAAATTTAATTTACCTGATTGGCTGAAATTGGGTATAATGTAAGGCTTATTTCATACAAAAACACGAATTCCTAGTTTTATTTATATTTTATAATCCAAGAATTTTGGTACAACAGAATAGTATCACCTTGTTGTAGCAGTCTCTGTTGATTTGGTCCAAATGTTCAATTAAATGAAAGTTTGGATAATTGGAATGCTCCTCGAAAATAATCATTCAGGTCCTAATTACAATTACTGTTTCAACATTATCTAAATTAAGTTAGAATCGCTAAATCTCTTTTTTGGACACATTTATCCTTGTTGTTCTTAAATGTCATGAGGCAATTTAAATGATAGTAACTGGCAAAAATTTCCCCAATAGCAGGTCATGTTAGCATGCAAAGGTACCAAGATACTCACACACAGTCATGTTCATATTTCAAAAGCTCGCTCTCGGCTGCAAATTCCCATGGCAAATATCGACTCTGAACCTGAAACCAACAATTAAAATAACTCAGCTGTTGAAGCAAGGTAATTGAATACAATTTTAAAATACAAAATTAATATAGCAATGAAGTAAACAAATTTACTCAAACAACGAGAACTCAGCAGAAGAAAACTTGAGAAAAAAGCAAGCATTTGCTCAACGTCATCTTTTAAATAAAAATAAACACTAGCAAAATAGCTACCATAAAAAGTCCCGTTTTAGAAAAACAAGATAATAAAATAAATGTGAAGAGAACTTACAACTCACTAATAAATTTGAAAAGGAAAATAACGGAGGAATAGTATGCAACTCCAACAATCTTAAATACATCTATATATAATAACAAACCATTTCCCAAAACTAAGAAATTAGTATCATTCATACATGTAAATGATGATATGAACAACTAAACAATACTGGAGAGTGATACTCTCAAGAAGATAAAAACATTTAAATAATTGGCATGCCGACCGAACATAAACCATATGCAAAATTGTCAAAGTTAAATTTCAGAATATCTGTCTTAAAGAACAAACATAGTTTGTAATTTGAGTTAATATAATCCAACTTAAGTCAAAGACAACCTTCCCCGATCTTAAGTGGTTTAGCTCTAAATTGCACTTCATGTTTTCCAAAGTTGACCCATCACCGTCCGTTAGTATAACCTGCATCCAACCTAAGAGATCAAGCAAACAATACCAATATAACTCGTATGCAGAAATTACTAGGAGATAATCAGAGTAGGCTTTCTCAAAATAAAAACTAAAATTATACTGGCAAATCAAAAAATACTTGCATAAAATAATATCGTGTTCCTTATTTATTGTGTCCACCCTGTCCCCCCTTCGTGCAATGTGACTTCTATCCACAAACAACCAAAAGCGATTCTCATGAACAATCAGTCCCATCACCAAATTGAGTCCATCAAAAGCTAAATTCCGAAAGTTAAGTTTACATATTGATAAAAACAAATAAAATCACACAACTTCGCATCAAACTTTCGACAAATAGGCTTGGATAATATTGTTGAAAAAGAGTGAGGTAGCACAATAGGCAGTTTATAATTAGATTATTAAATAAGTATAGAAAGCCAATTACCAAGAATTGCGATAGAAGACAGAAAACTAGAAAAAAATTGTTCTCATCAAAATCCTACGACTAAAAATCATGATCAACTAATATTAACAAATTTGAGATAGATGAGGTGCTGCAATAATTAATGGATGAGAGTTAATCACAATGATTAGTGATGTAGTAGCGAGTCTAGTGACCACCTTCATAGATCTAATGTTGACATTGATACCCAATTCATAACTTGACCCAAGCAAATGCGACAGAAATGATGACTAAAGAACGAGAGGCAGCAAGTTCATGAGAAATACAGCACATAAAACAAAATAACTCAAATAACGATCAATTCATAAAATGTACTATACTAATGCATCTGGATCATCACATATACTCTGAAGAGACCCCAAGTTCATTAAAATCATCACACACAAAAAGACGACAAAATGAGTTCTCTCACAAGGTTTAAAACTAAAATTTATCCTCAGTAACTTAAAAAATTTGCTCACATGTATGCAATCGCAAAATTAGATGAATGTGATAATGAGTCAAAAGATAAAAGTCACTTTGCAAGTAATCAACTCAGGACATCATCACATAAAATAATACTTTTCAATATTAATATTATAAAATAAAAAAATGAAAAAATGATGATGAATTTTCATATTAATATTGTGAAATAAAAAAAAATGAAAAATATGTGTGCGGCTTGCCCTGACTTCGGCTAGCATCTGCGACGTCAATTCTAAGTCCCCTGAGGTCACGGGTTTGAGCCCGCCTAAGTGCATTTGACTTGCAGTGCGGGATCGAGTGGTTAGGCACATGAAGATGGTTGGAGCCTTGTAGCGTAGCCTCAACAGCGGCAGGCTCTACTACGGTTTCGCCTCATGAGGATTTCCGACGGTTATTTATCGGATTTAGCTTCTTCGTTTCTCTTCTGGACGTTTTCACGCAGTTGCAGCTCCTGTCTTTCCTGTTTGAAGTTCGTTCGCTCCAAGTCGTCACCTTTGTCGACGAAGAGCGCTCCTGCTCATCGCCTCCATTGACGACGGTGTTTCTCTCGCTGTCGTCTCCCGTTGCGACGACATTTCTTCTTGCAAGCAGATTTCTTGCGGTTATCTCGTCGCTCGTTCCAGACGAACCGAGACTGACACCTGAAGTTTTGCTCGCATCTTGGCGGCCTGCCAGACTATTTCTCCTGAATGTGACCATCTTGTGAGGGTGATGGCCTCGACGCTCCGCTCCTCTCCGTTCCTATGCAAATGCTGTTGTCGACGACTTTCCTGCTCGTTCCCCTCCTCCAGGTTCAGCATCTGGTTTTACTATCAGTAAGTCCTGCAATGTTTCAGAATCTTTCCACGAGGCTCTTGAAAGTGGAAGTGATCACACTTTTATTAAAAAACTTGAAAAAAAAAATGGGAAACCAGCACTTATTCTCACAGAGGTTGAAATTAGTACTCTCACGTCCTCTTGGTGTTTTTCTCTAGTGGAAAAATTTCTTTATGGTCACCCAAAACTGGAGATCATTAGGAAGGAGTTTGATGCTATGAAACTATTGGGCAGTTGGAACATTGGACTACTTGACGGTAGACATATACTTATTCAGTCATCTCATGATGTGATTACACTTGCATTTTCTCTCAAAAAGCTACCAATATTGACAATCGTTTTATGAAAATTCTAAAGTGGACTGTCGATTTTGATCCAAAAGCGGAGTCCCTTATCATTCCTGTTTAGATAAAGTTTCTAGGGTTAAAATTACATATGTTCAGCATTGAAAGCATCTACTCTTTAGCAGCTGCTTACGGTAAGTCTCTCAAGGTGGATAGTCATACACTTGCTTTCACTAGACTCTCTGTGGCTTGTGTGTTAGTTGAGAGAGATATCACTCAACCAGCTCCGAATGAGATATGGATTGACAATATTCACAACAGGTATTGGCAAAAGGTAAAAATGGAACAACATCCTTCTTATTACTCTCATTGTAGTATGTTTGGTCACAGCTCTACTATTTGTTATCATTTGCATCCTCATTTAATGTCGAATGCCGAATATCCCTAAAGAACAACCATCTATTATCTCTATTGAGATGATGCAACCCGATCCTCTTCCTAACACCGCAATTCCTGAAGAAGAACAGCATACTATAAAAAGATCCACTTGTGTGCGCTTATACCACTCATTGTTATTGAAGAAGGTTATTGAAGAAGACTCTCTTCCATGCCAAGACACACGAGAGTGCTCCTTTGATCTAATAACAGATCAATCGGTACAACATGTAGTTGCTCCTAATGTTCAACAATCTGCACATCTCCAACACACTTTAGACCAATATCAGATTAGTCAATCTTCGGAAGAGGAATGACAGGTCTATTCCAAGAGGAAGAGAAGAATGGAGGTCGACTCCAGCTCGGAAACATATTGGATGATACATTAGTTACTACTGGCAATGACAATCATCTTACTAACTTATTAGCTTGCTCCTTTCCTAGAACTAGAGGCGAAGGCAAAACCAAATCGAGTTGCTCTTTGGCCACCTCATACTATGTATTGCAGCATTTTTAGGTTTTTTCTTTATGTCTCTAATGTACTTTTTAGTATTTTCTAGCTTTGGAACCCCTTGTGGTTTTGATGTGGGCTGGGTACCATGTTTGGGCCCTCCAACACAATGTATCTGTATCTTTCTTTCTAGTTATATATATAAAAAGTAAAAAAAGGAAAAATAATTATCAAATGTATCCTTCATATGCTGGCCCTTCCTCACTCGAAGAAAAATCGTGTCAAACTATCAATTCAGGGGCATTATTGTGACACCAGAGACCTCTAGGGAAATTGACGCAAGTGTTGCTTGCCATGGACATGACAGAAAGTGCGCGTCGGCCCTAGAACGATTTGTCTATGCAAGATAAGGATCGATCGGGCCTTCCAAGTAAGGGCTTCCCTCCGATTTGGAGCAAGCTCTTTTTCCTAAGTCTGTTTATATGTTATTCGACTTTGCCAGGGCAATTTGGCTTTCAGATTTCTGCCAGGATAGTCGTCAGCGACCTGTTTTATCTCCTAGGGGTATTCAAAGGCAAAAAGGTGCTACGGCTATCACTCGCCCAGAGGTGGTGGTTTTCTATCGTTCTCTGCTTCCCTGTTGCTTCCCCTTGGTTGTTGCAGTCTTTATGGTCATTGCAGTCGCTCGGAACAAAGTCTGTATTGTTTTCCTGTAGTCATCCATCCCCCTAGCCAATTCCCCCTTGCAGCCAGCCCTACCAACCGTCTCCAGCTTGTCGCCGACCTCTCCAACCACCAACCTACCTGCTGCCACTCCGTTTCCAGCAACCTCTAACCTATTGTGGCCCCTCCCAACCACCTTCAACCTGTTGTCCATCCCTTTCAGCCACGATAGCCAATTGCCTTTCCCTTTCGGCCCTTACAATTGCTACAGGCTCCCTTCCATCCCTCGCAACCTGCTTCCACCTCCCATTCCAGCCACCTCCCACCTGTTGATGCCCCCTTCCAGCCACCTACCACTTGTCGTCGCCCTTCCAACTACCTTCGACCTACTTTAGTTACTATTTTTCCTTAAACCGCAACATTGTTGTCTTCGCCCTCAGCCATAGTTGAGTCATGTTATGTCTTTGTTATTTCTCAATTTCAAATGTATCTTATTGTAGCTTATATTTTGTTTTGCTAGAATGCTTCTTTAGGCTGAGAGAACCTAAAGAGAGACAGAGAGACAGAGAGAAGGATAGGAAAACATTACCACTTGGGAGAATTTGAAAAAAGCAATGTAATAACAGTACCTACCCCTACACTACCGCCAACATATTTTTATGAAACTCTACTATCTAAAGTAGAAAGAGCTATCAGTGGAGAAATAAACAACAAAATATATGAATGTCAAGTTGAAATGTGAACTGAAGGAGACAAAGAAGCACTTCGTACCCAAATATTTGGGAGGCTTGAAGCTCGCCATCAGTAATGTGGTTCAACTGTAAACATAATGGACAATGAGGGAAGTGTAGACCTTGATCCTAAAAGTGGAGAAACAACAGAAACATCAAAGATATCCACCTCCTTTCAAACAAACCCCTACAACTGGGGTCCCAGAAGGTGCGTACCTAGAGTAGGAAAGGCTGGGCAAGGAAATGACGGCATATCCGAGTAGGAAGAAGTCAGAGAATGATCCCAGTCCGAAAATGCTTCATATGTCATGGATACAACATATTACCTCCAATTGCCCGGTGAGACGAATAGTGTCCTTCACCGAGCATGATGTTGTAGAGGTAGTTAGTGATGACGAAATAATCCAGGATCGGGATGAGGAATACCAACTCCAGGGAGACGAAGGAGAAATGCTCGTTATAAAAAGAGTCCTACGAATGGAACCGCAAAGAAATCACTCTTGGTTAAGGCACAGTATCTTCTGCACCAGGTGTACGATGAGAGGAAAAGTTTGTTGTCTCGTCATTAACGGAGTAAGATATGAGAACATGGTCCACACTTTGATGATGAAGTTGGATCTGGCTACACAAAAACACTCCCAATCCTATGCTCTAATGTGGTTGAAAAAAAGAATCAGAGTTATGAGTGGATCGCCAATGCTTGA